ATCAACATACATTGACACACTCACCCCCCACTCACATACACACAAACATGGGTGCTCACACATGTTCACATGCACAGTACTCGTGCACTTTCACACTTTCACATGTGTATGCATACGTACACACAAGTGTGCACAGATCTGCACAGGTACATAAAAGGCACACATGCTTGTGCCCACAGCCAGCCTCATTTCTGCAGCTCTGGTCCCTGTGAGTTGGCAGCCACTGCTGTTCCTACACTTCAATTCCTCACCCTCTGCAACAAACCTGCACTCTCCAGGAGGAACTGATACGAGGGCCTCCTCCAGCACTGTCACAGGTGACCTTGCATTTGATTTCTCTCTGCTTTCCTTTGATCATTTATATCATTTTACTTTTGCTATAAAACAGGACTCCACTGGGCAGAATCATAGGACTGCTTGATCTGCTGTCATCTCAGCACCTTGCTGACCACATGGCCTCCTTGTGTCATCACTTGGTGTTGTCGCCTTTGAGCCTGGACCCTGGGGGCTGCTGCAATACCTCAGAGCTGCTGGGAAGGCTCAAGACTGTCCACCTGACCTGGTTGCCTGTTTGCTCTGGAAATGGTCTAGAAACGGCAGGCTGCTTCTATCCTCTCCTCACTGTTGCCTGCCCAGGAGGAGCCGAGGACACAAACAGTCCAGCAATTCCTAAGCCATTGTGTCACCCTTGGAAATGAAGTCAACGTGTCCATTTGATCCGCCAGCTCTTGGTCTATTCCTTTTTGTAGCTGGGAAAAACATTTCCGTTTCCAAGCCAAACAGTTTTTTTCTACAGCTGTCTTTGTAAAGCATGTACAAGGGTTGGGCTTGGGGGGGATGGGTTCTTTTGATTAGATTCTTCTAGCTTTTTTCTCCAAAACTCATAGCAACACTCTCCTTCCTGTGGCTTTGGGAGAAATGTCATTGGTGGCCTAGGCTTTGTGAAAAAGACTAAATCTGAGCTGTTATTCTGTCAGATATCACATAATCACAGGCGGGCCAGTAAATGGATGGTAACCACCCTCAAGGCTCCTGGAGAACTCTCTTAGTCACTTTCCTGTCACTGAGACACAGTACCCAACACCCACAACTTAAAGGAGAAAAAGTTTGCTTTGTCTCACTTTTCAGTAGCCTCTGTCCTCCTATGGGTGGCTGGCTCTAGGCAGAAGCAGTATGGTGCAAGGGACTGGCGGAGGGACACTGCTCACCTCATGGCAGCCAGGAAGCAGAGAGCAAAAGGAAGAGCTGGGAGGGCAACAAATCCTTGTGGCTACATCCCCAGTGACCCACTTCTCCTCACCAGGTTCCGCCTCCTGGTCACACAAGAGGTGCACAAAAACCACTAAACTCCAATAGCCATCAGAGAAAGGTGGCTTTTCTAGGTCGATCTCTAGCTCTGAGTCAAGGCTCTGCCATGCGATTGTGCTCTGTCCTCTGGGTTCTTGTGTTAGTTGCCTCTAAACATCAGTCCCATGCCATGAGAACCAGTGGGGCTTCATCAGGGCCACTCATGTCAAGCCCAGCATTCACAAAGTGGCTGAACTCCCATTCACATCTGGCTTGACTCTCAACCCAGCTTACCACGTGCATCAGTGGATACACATTTCTCAATTTTACTTTTTCCTTCTGAAAAAAAGCAATGAGTATTCTAGATGCCTTTTAAAAGAGAATGTAGGAGGATAATTAGATTAGATTAGATTTGAGGGGCATTTTGACATTCATTCCAGAAAATTCCTTTGGCAATTACATAACTGTCATAGAAAAATATTAATTTACTAGGATTGCTGTTAGGGTTTGTGTCTGAATTGTCCTCCAAAGGCACATGTGTTGAAGGACCGGTCCCCATTGAAGCAGTGTTCAGAAGTGAGGCCTTTGGGAGCTGATTAGATCATGAAGGCCTTGACCTCACTGATGGATTCATTCATTTATGGGTTCATAGCTTAGTGGGTTTGGGGAAGACAGGTTATGTAATATAAGTGAGCTCTCTCTGCTTCCTGGCCACCATGAGGTGAGCAGATTTGCTCTGCTGTGTGTTTCCCCATCATGATGTACCACCTCACCACTGGCCCACAGCCACAGGACTAAAGGTCTGAAACCTCTGAAACTATCAGCCAAACTCACCTTTTCCTTATTTTAAATGGGTGACCTTATTGTATTTCTGACACAGAAACGGAAAACAATCAAAGTTGCTATAGCAAAGTACTGCACAATGGCCAGTTTAAACAGACATCTGTCATCTTACGGTTCTGAAGGTTACAAATCCAAGATTGGGTGTGCAGAGATGGTTCTTTCTACAAACTTCTCTCCTTGGCTTGTAAACAAGCACTTCTTTCTGTCTTATCATACTGTCTTCTCTCTGTGCATGTCTTTATCTAAATATCCCCTTTTTTAGACACCCATCATTTTGGGAAAAGGTCTATCCTAATGGCCTCATTTTGATGTAATTATCTCTACAAAGACCCTGTATCTAAATAAACTGAGGCTCAAAGGTCTTAAGGTTAGGGTTTCAACATACCTTTTTTTGAGGGGGTGGAGGTAAAGTTCTACCCATACTAGTGGCTCTCTGAGCTTGGGCATCCTTAACCTAGATAGAATCATCCTATCTCAGGCACAGCAGACCCGCTCTCTTGTCTTCTCTTGGATAGTAAGTGGCTGTCTGAGTGTCTCTCCAGGAACAGGAACAATGTTACCACCATGAAGATCCAACAAGAAGTGTGGGAGGTGGCTCTGAGAAAGTAGAGAAGTTCAGCCAGGCGTTGACACCTCACACGGTGCGGGGGGGGGGGGGGTGCTTATTTCTTCTTGGGAACCAGGGAGCTGCTCTGAGCAGACTTTGACAGGAACTCAGTCTGAAGGCAGTGTCATGGGAATGATGGGTGGAACTTCTGGAAAATCGAAACCAGCTCTACTGGTTTTGATCACACCAAGTCTCCCAAGGTGGGAATACAAAACGTCTTTAAACCTAACCCCATCAGATGTGAAATGCTTTGTACGCCTTTGAAGGAAAGGCCTGAAAGAGTTTGCGGGTGTTCCTGCGCTCTTCAGCCAGGGCGGAGGGATCTGTCTAGAGTGAGCAACAGTCACAGAGAGTGAGATGTTCTATGCAGTGTAACCCACTGGGAAACAGCTAAGGCAGGTTCTCAACAGAACCTGCTGCAGCTGCCTCTCTGGGGCACACCTACTATCGGGCCCATTCGCCCACAGACGAGAAGCAGCTGCCCATCTCCTCCTAATGATACAGGGAAGCCAGGAAACAAGCTTTCCCAGACGGCTAACCCTACTTCCTTGGAGAAAATTGCTTCTTTCCATGACTTAAGTTTACAGTGTTGCTGGATCATTATGCCCACATAATAGGACTCAAACCACAGAAGCAGCAACCTTGAAATGTGCTTTTTGTCTATTGCAAACCACTTTGAAAATAAAATGAAAATGTTTCTCCCAAACCTGGTCCTGAGTTCTTGAGGTAGTGGCTTTTCTCCCCTTAACCAATAACAGGACTGAGATCACCCCACTCCTTGGCAAGATTTTGGTCCAAATTCAGGAGATGGGCAGCCTCATCAGAGTGAAGCTCAGAGCTCACACTAATGCAGGCATCTCCAGGTTTTACTATATCCTGGGCTACAATAGAAAAATTTTAAAGAAATTTTGTTACATGCATAAAACATAGTTATATGTTTTATATGCAGCCCAGGATCAATCCTCTTTGTTCAATGAGGTCCATGCAAGCCTGGAAATTCTGTTTCCCTCCATTTGGAAGGTCTCCTACTTTTCTCAAAAATGGGACCACATTTTCTCTGTCCCTTTCACTTCTGACCCATTCTAGCAACTTGTTACAGCATAAAACAACCAAGGCCTGTTCATGGCACTGCAGAACCAAAGCTGGCATAAGATCACCTCAGGAGGGAGGCACTATAGAGCATCTTTGGCAAAGCACCAGCTTCAGGGGGCCTTGGTGTCTGTCAGAAACTAGAGTGGCCCTAACATCCTTCAAACTGCAGAGAGTTCTTGTGCATGCATGAGGGACAGATCCCTCCCTCCAGCAGGTACGCATTGGCAAAAGACCTAGCCCTCTGGCTGCAAGGACCCTGGCTTCCCCATCTTGTTAGACAGGGAGATGTGGCAGGGAGGCAGCAGTGACCAAGGTGAAGATATTCCCAGGGACTCCGAGCTCTTCACGCTTTGCAGCCTGAGACTGAGAGAAATATGCTCATTCTCCCAGTGCACAGCGCTGTTTGCTAGTTCACCTCAACCTTGTCCAGCAGCTGGGTTTAGGCCCAGCCTCGCAGCATCTTCTTGCTATCATCAACACATGATAGTGGTTTCTCAACTCAGGGTCTTGTCTGGCAACTGGTATCCAATACAGTCACTTCTTTTCTCAAGCAAGGTCCACTAGGTCTGACCACTCTTCTATCGGGCCAGCTAGCTGCCCTGCTGGGAAGCACTTACACTTGTGAGTCAGTTCACAAATGCTGGCCCCTGGAAATTGAACTCCGGGTAGACACGCCCAGCTGGAGGCAACGCTCTGTTTAAGTGAACAAGGCTAATTTGTTAGGCTTGGCTATGACTGAATGTGTGTGTTTTCAATGAGGCTTAATTTAAGTTGAAATCTAATTTGGAAGGTCTCAGGGGGTAAGACTTTCAAAACTAAAGAGATAAACGAGGTGGCTCAGACTCTATAAAGAATGGAATTGCTCCTACTGTCTTTTGAGCTTGGGTGGGTTATTTATTCTTTGGAAGAGGCTGCCTCTGGATGCTTGCTTTGTTTTGTTTTCATGTATTTTTCACGGCAGATTGTGAAGAGTCTGCTTTTGACTAAAAGTGTTTTAAAGAGGCAATTGTTTTTGCTGTTAGTTTATGTCCTGCTTCTACCTGGTGGCTGCGACAGTGGCTATTTACTGAAGGGACATTCAGACAGAGGGGGTCAAGAAATTGAAGGAACACTAGTAAAAAGAAAATCACAAGTCTTTTGCCTCCAGGGTCACATGATTTTATTTCGGAGAATAAAGCTGAGTTAATGTAGCAAGCCATTGAGTTAGCACAGAGGAGCTTCTAACTCCGGCAAGGAAGCACGGGCTCTCCGGGTGAGGGGCTCCCTATGGGTGGGGTTCACCTCCACAGAAAGATGTGACGCTACTACTGCAGCTGCCAGGGCTTCCCTCCATGCCCAGGAAACAGCAAGGGCAAATTCTTCAAGTTCTGAGTGATAGCCCATCTCTCTGGATCTGTATGTGCTGAGAAACCATGTCAGAATCATCTGGAGCATCCTAAAGGAAAGCAGTAAAAAAGGATCAGAATCCGACGGTAGAGCACCCCCCTGGCCTGAGCAGTTAGCTTCAGCATTGCACATCTGGCAGATGACCTCCAGCCAGAGGGAGCCTCTCAGGCCCGTCCTCTCTGCTTCGCTTTAAGGCACAGCAGTTTGCTCACCCCCAGGCTTATATAGGACTACCCTGCCCCAAATCCCGATATGCCCACCTCCTACAGCTGAGGGCTGGAAAGCAAAGTAGGTGCTGTAAACCTTACAGAAACTAATGCAATAAGAGCCTTGACTACCTATGGTTAATAGAGAGAGTGTTTATCAGCCTATGTGCTTTTTGGTTAAAGTCTTGTATAGACTCCTATACAGGCATAGCGGTTGTCCATCCTTAAAATGTTTGCTGTACCATCACGGGAAAGGTCTGGCTTGGGGCACACAGACTCCTTCTTGCTGGTAATGTGTGGTTCACCTTGACTGTTTCCCTGAAGGTCCAATGAGAGGAGGAATTCTCTAAGTCAGGGATGGGCTGTAGGTGGCTTGGCGGTGCGGCACCAACAGCCAGACACAGCCCTCTGACAATAAGGACTCTGTCTTAGGTCAGTGCTACTTGTCTGGAACAGACTTCTAAGCCTTTTTCTTCTACATTCTTTCAAAAAGAAAGGCCTTGGGCCCAGCCGCGCTGATACTAGGTTCTCACCTGGACTTAACACGATGGAGTAGTTTTCACTGGATTCACTTTCACAGCGAAGGACACCGGTATTCCACAAAGATGAGAAGTTTCCTTTTAAAATTGGTTAGTAAAAACATCGAGTCAAGTTTTTACAGTGTACTTAATAGCAGAGACGGAAACACATGAAGCCTGAAATTTGCAAAGTCCCAGAAGATCCTCCCAGTTCTAGAATCAAAGGTCAGCTAATGGGAGCAAATCTTTGCAAGTCAGATATTTGATAGAGTATATACACCTCTTACAACTCAATAATAAAAAGAAATATAACCCAAGTATTGATGGGAAAAAGATCCAAATACACATTTCTCCAAAGAAGATATACGTGACCAATGAACATGACACTTAACATTACTAATCATCAGAGAAATGTAAATGTCATTGAAACCACGATGAGATACCATGTCACACTCACTAAGATGACTAAGTTTTGAAAGGACAGTAATGCATTTTGTGCAGAGCCAAAAAACTTGGAAGCCTTATACACTTCTGGTGGGAACATCAAACGGTGCAGGCACACTGGAAAATGGTCTCCTGGCTCCTCATATGACTCAGAAACTCTGCTCCTTGATGTGTTATGCAAAAAGTTTTTTTTAAAAAAAATCCACACAAAGACCAGGGATATAGCTCAGTGGCACAGTACACTGCCTGATAAGTGTGAACTCATGAGTTCGATCCCTGATTTTAAAAAAAACTAAGAAATTATTAATAAAATAGAACTTACAAAATGTAACAATAAACTATCCGTTTAAAAAAACAAAAAAATAAATAAAAATCCACAAAAAGCTTCACAGAAATGTTCACAGCATTGTTACTCATAACACAGCAGTAATGTACGGGAGTGGGCCTTTCTTCTTGTCATAGAGACACGGTGCTGAAGGACACAAGCCCTGGAGAGAACCCTGGCAAGGCCACCAAGCTATGCAGTGTGGGGCTGCAATTCTAACTTCTTTCTTCAAGGCCGTGTGACATGGAACAGCTACTTTTTGCCTTTGACCATATCCTTTCATGTCAAATCAGGGTGATTTTACCGCCCCCTTCTCCAGTTTTGTTGTAAAGGTTAAATACACAGAAAGTTCTTTCTGTTGGGCCTGACGTATGAGTAGTGCTTGATAATGCTGCCTCTTGTGACCAGGTTAGAATGAAGATTTCATATGGGTAGCAAACCGGGGTGCCTGATTAAGGCATTCAGCCCATTCTCTGTCACTTATTATCTATGATCTTGGACAATTACCACTCCGCACTGACCCTCAGTTTCTTAATCTGCAAAATGGGCTTCTCATCCTGCTTTATAATTTATGCTGCTGTTATGGTTTATATTTAAATGTCTCCCCCAAAGTCTCATATGCTCGTAGGTGGGACTTTGGGAAGTGACAATCACGGAAGTGTGATTGTCATCAATGATGGGTTCATAGCTGAGTGTGATGCTGGGAGGCAAAGCGTGTTGGGAAGAGGCGGGTCACTGGGTGTGGCCTGGGAGGATATATCTGTCCACTCCCCCTTAATCTCTCTCTGCTTCCTGGCTGCTGTACTGCACGCAAGCCTCCTCTGCCATGCCCCTCTGCTATGTTGCCCTGCTTTGGAGCCAGCCGACTACAGACTGAAACCTCTACAAACTATGAGCCAAAATAAACCATTGCTCCTTCACCTTGTAGATGCTGGATATTTTGTAATGAGAAAGTAACTAAGATACCTGTCTGCCTGTGCAGTTTTATTAATGAGGAAAAGGAACCCATCTACCTGGCTTTGGCGGAGGGAGTTTCTGTTTCTCGGCTCTACATGTATAGAAATACTTCTTCCGACCCAGAATCTCATCCCTTTTGGAGCTGTATTCTGTCCAGTGGAACCCAACCTGACCCACGCAATCCTGAGGCTTCATGGTGAAAAGCAGGGTTGTGCTCCTAGGTATGGACTTGGACGTGGTCTCAGCTTTCTTACCTGTTCAGAGAGGAGCTCAGGCTAGATGGTGTCCGGAGCCCCTCCAGCTCCATCTTCCAGAAACTTCCACTCTCTGAAGAGCCCCGTTCATTTTGCCTGTGCTCTCTGCGTGGGGAAGCAGAGTGCAGGCACCACTGAGCCTCGCTGTGGGCCGGCCTTGTTGCCTGTTTTTGTTTCTAATCTGAGACATGGAGCTCACTTGAGCAGCTCTCATCTGCACGCTCACTATTTTGCTGAGGCCCCTAAAGCACTGAAACATCTACATTAACGTAGAAGAGTGCTTTGCAGCCGTGCTCAAAGGGCTTTCTGCAAAAAGTGGTCCCTAGCGAGAGGGAGTGTGCTGGGGAGTTGACCTACATAAGATTTGATTTGTGAGTCCCTCACTCTTGCCTGCAAGCATGTCTAAGTGGAATTCTTTTTCAAAAAATCACTTATTGTGGTAAAATCTATGTAATATTTACCACTTTAACCATTTTTAGTGGCCAGCTTACTAGTTGAGTACATGCACAGACATTGTTGTGCAATCGTCATCACCATCCATCCACAGGAATTCCAGATGGAAACTCTGTCTCATTAAGCACTAACTCCTCAGTGCCCCTCCCCCAGCCCCGACAGCTACCATTCTATTTCCCGCCTCTGCGGTTGGACTACTCTATTAACCTCATACATACAGTATCTGCTCTTTTCTGGATGGTTTATTTCACTAAGTACGTCTTCAAGGTCATCCATGTTGCAGCATCTGTTGTAATTTCATCCCTCTTTTAGCTTAAGTAATATTCCATTGTAGGGTTGCTTCTGCCTTTGTCTGTCGTGAACAGTCAGCCATGACACTCACATACGAAGGTGTTTGTCCTTGAATAGTCGCTTTCAGTTCTGTGGTGTATAAACCTAGGAGTGGAAGTGCTCCATCATACAGTAATTCTATGTTGAATTTTTTGAGGAGCTGCTATCATGTTTTCATAGCCCTTCCTGTGTGTTACTGTGTTTTTGTGGATCATCTATCGATGGAAGTTTGAGCTGTTTCCCAAGTGGGACTCTTTTATATAAGAAGCCCAGAGTAGGGGAAAGGAAAGCAGAGAAGCCTTTGGAAAAGAAGGATGCTGAGCAAAGAGGTGAGGGGCCCTCCTGTGCTCTCCGCAGGCAGGCAGTGGGAATTCCTCAGGGAGACTTCCTGGGATGTGGCCGCTGTGTGGTTCTCACCATTTCTGAAGACATTCTTCCGAAATTCACCCTTGGCCCCTCAATCTGAAAAGCTTTGAGGAGAATGGCCTGCCTGCTCATCAGAGAGTAACTTGGGCAGGACAGGAAGACTTGCACATGCATCTGCCTTTGTGAAAGTCTTTAGCGCTTACAGCAATGGCTCCCTGACGCTCACATGTGCTAAGTAGAATTGCAGTCATTATGAAATATGTGGCAGACACTGAATGTGACCATTGGCCCAAAGTGAAATAGCTGACTATGTCCACTTTTGTGGAAGGACAGCCTTCTCTAAAACTATTTGTTCAGGATCTTGAACATGTGTGTGTTGCAAAATTTCCCCTCCTTCCTTCCTGCTCTGTCCTTCTCCAGCACAGCTCCCGCCCTCCCCCATGCCCACATCTGCAGATGTGTCTTTGGAAGCATTTACTGATGGATCCAAAAGCCGTGAGTACTCGCTGATTGAAGCTGGCCCACGTCCGTCTTATGGCCTCTTTTCCTATGTTCAAGACAGATGGCCAAAGGTGGCTCAGAGGGCCCAGAATTACAGCACGTTTTTATAAGGCAAAATTATTCCCCCTCAGGCTATTTCTGCTCACTCTGCAAGACACTGTATCATGAGCTGTGAGTGGCAGGAGCATTCTGCCTGGTGGGCCCGAATCCAGGCACGAGCTACTAATTTCCTGATAAAGCCATTAGTGTTGAGAGCTCTTTGGACTCAGAGCCCCCACATGGAGGTCCCCACATTAATCACGCTGGAAAAAGAAGGTCCAAGACACAAGTTTGGCAAATCTAGACTGAGCTGTTCATCTGTTTTTTAAATACTTCTTTTCTTTATGTCTAATAATATTTTAAATGTTTTATTTCTATATATTTGCACTTCACATAGTTTACAGCCGGCTTGGGGAGTGGTTACACGCACATATTACAGAGTGCGCCATTCTGTGGTTTTCAATTCCCTTTCCCTTCTTTCTCCCCGTCTCCTCCTCCAGTTCTCTTTCCCATTTTACATTCTTGGTACAGTATCACTAACCTTAGCTCATGTTTTACCGCACAGTGTTTACATGACTTGGGGCTATGAGGTTCCTGTCCATGGAATAACTTTTTTCTACTTATTTCTCCTTTCCCTCCTCCTCACCCCTACTCTTTTCCCCTTGGGCCACTCCCCTGTTGCAAGAGATCCATACTTCGTCTCCTTCTATCCATCCTTTATCATTCTCTTTGTACTCTGCCTCACTCAAATGAGAGATACCAGGTGGTATTTAAACTTGTGTGTCTGGCTTATTTCACTCAACATTTTTTCCAGGTGCATTCATTTTCCTATAAATGTCTCAAATTTGTCATTCTTTATAGCCAAATAATATTCCATTTTATATAGATTCCATATTTTCTTTATCCTGTTGTCTGTTAATGGGTACACAGGCTGATTCCAGGATTTACCTATTATGAATTGTGCTGCTCTAAATGTTTATATGCAAATATTATTGTAGGAATAGCTAGGTCACATGGAATTTCTAATTGTTGTTCTTTGAGAAATCTCCATATTGATTTCCATAATGGTTGTACCAGTTTACATTTCTACCAGCAATGAAAAGAGGGTTCCTTTTTTGCCATAACCATGCCAAAATCTGTTATTGCTTGATTTCCTAATGATTGCTCTTCTTCTCAGAGTAAGATGGACTCTTAGTGGTGCTTTAATTTGATTTCTATAATGGCTAAAGATGTTGAACATCTTTTAATAGATTTGTTAACTATTTGTATTTGTTTTTTCATGTGGAGTCTGTTCATTTCTCTTGTCATTTCCTGACTGGATCTCTAATTTTCGTTGGTTTAATTTCTTTTTTGAGTTCTTTGTATATTCTACATATTAGTCCTCTGTCTGAGGAATGGTTAGCAAAAATTTCATCCCCATTCTACAGGTTATTGTTTCGGTCTACTGTTTGATACTTTTGCTGAACAGACTCCTTTTAGACTGTTATAATCCCATTTCTTGATTCTTGCTATTTCCTGTCCAACTGAAGTTCTATTTAGAAAATGCTTTTCTACACCTATGTCTTCAAGAGATTTTATCTTCCAATAAGTTTAATGTTTCTGCTTTAATGTTGATATCTTTGATCCATTTTTATTTTAATTTAGTATATGGTAACAGATAAGGGTTCACTTTTAAATTTTCTACAAACAGATAATGAGTTTCTGGAAGTTAATGACAATGACTGCATGACTCATTGAAACCTCTGGGACAGTTTGAAAGCAGTCCTAAGAGGAAAATTCATTTCAATCAATACTCACATTAGGAAAACAAAGCAAGCCTAAATAAATGACCTTATGAGGACTCTTAAGACACTTGAGAAACAACAACAAAGCAGACCCAAACTCAAATTAAGGAGGGAAATTATAAATATGAGAACAGAAATAAATGAAATGAACACAAAAAACAGTAAAAAGAATCAACAAATCAAAGAACTGGTTCTTCAAAACAATAAAATATATAAGCACTCAGCCAGACTCACCAAGAGAAAATTCACATCAATGCAATTAGGAATGAAAAAAGGTCAAATCACAGCAGATACTATGGAAAGCTAGAAGACAGTAACTACTTTGAAAACTTATAATCCAACAAATTAGTAAATTTTGAAGAAAAGGAGAGATTCCTAGACATATGCAAACTACCAAACCAAACCAAGAATACATAAATATGCTTAACAACTCAGTAATGTGCAATGAAATCAACACAGTAATAAAGAATCGACGAACTAAAAAAAGCCCAGGACACACTGGTTTCACTGCTGAATTCTATGAAACAATTAAGCGTGTAATATCACCAATACTCCTCAAGATCTTCAAAGAATTTAAAGGGATGAACTGCTCCAAAATTCATTTTTGGAAGCCAATATCACCCTGATCCCCAAACTGGATAAAGACCCAACTAAAAAGGAAAACTCTAAGCCAGTCTTCTTAATGAACATAGATGCAAGAATTCTCAGGAACATATTAACAAATGAAAGCAGCACATTATCAAAAAGATAACACATCACCATCAAGTAGGTTTTATCCCAGAGACAAAAGGATGATTCAGCACACATAAATCAATAAATCTAATTCATCCCATAAACAGGAGCAAAGTCAAAACTCATATGGTTATATCAATAGAAGGAGAAAAGGATTTTTTTTTACAAATTCCAACATTGCTTCATGATAAAAACTCAAAAGAAAGCAAATATAGAAGGGTCATACCAGAATATGATAAAAGGTATTTATGACAAACCAATAGTCAACATTTTACTAAATGTGAAAAACTAAAATCATTACCCCTAAAAGCAGGAAGAAGACAAGAATGTCCACTATCATCTCTGCTATTCAACAGAGTACTTGAAACATTAGCCAGAGCAATTAGGAAACAGAATGAAATAAAAAGGATACATATAGGAAAGGAAAAACTCAAATTATCATTATTTGCAGATGACAAGATAGTCTACATAGAAAACCAGAGAACTCCAACAAAAAACTCTTAGAATTAATAACCAGCTACAGCAATGTAGCAGTATACAAGATCAACACACAAAAATCATTAGCATTTGTGTACACAATGTAAGGAACTCTCTGAGAAAGAAATCATGAAAACAATACCATTCACAGTAGCTTCAAGGAAAAGGAAATACCCAGAAATTAACCCAACCAAGGAAGTAAAAGACCTCTACAAAGGAAATTCCAACAATCTGAAGAAGGAAATCAAAAAGGACATCAGAGAGTGCAAAGATGTCCCCTGCTCCTGGATAGGTAAGGTCAATATTGTCAAAATGGCCATATTCCTAAAGCTGGTATGCAGATACAATGCATCCCAAATCAAAACACCAACAGCATACTTTATAGAACTATAAAAACAATTTAAAATGTTATATGGAACCAGAAG